GGCATCCTAAGAAAATACCTATGAGGGGAGGCTGGGCCGAAAACTTCTACTGTCACCGGTCAAAGTACCTGCACTTGCAGGTATGGCAGACCTGTAGCCCCTTTCTCCAGCTCTGGCCAGCAGTGAACAAATGCGGGCAACGAGGAGAGAGGGGAAGAGCATCGGGGTTTCTTCCTTGCAACAGTTCAGAAATATCAGGCACAGACTCATGTTCAGGCCTTAGCTGGAGAAGTCCGTCTTTGCCAAGACAGTCGCACAGCCCCGCAGCTGCGGCCTGTGCTTGCAGGTGGAGGGTCAGGGCCCGCCGCCTGGCGAGGTGCGGGGCTGCCACGCAGCCGTGCAAAGCCCTCCCGGGAGCTGAAAGGCAGCGGTGTCGTATCAGACTCGTGCACGTGTGGCTGTGCTGGAGCAAAGCCAGGTGAAATGATCACCGGGACGTTAAGTCCAAGAAACTTGCCCTTGTTAGCAGAAAGTTCCCCACTGGGTAGTTCACTTTTTTTTTTTTTTTTGGCACTTTGTCGGTTGCAAATGTAGCTTTTAAATAGGAATACAGTGAATATAAAATAATGAAATGCAAGGGGATCCTCTGAAAAGTATGATCATTTTAACATTCATCAAAGTTATACTAAGAAGTTTCTTTTAAATCCATGCAGCTGTTTCAGAAAACCAGGCACATTTTAATAATAGCTTAAAAAGGAGTGGAAATTATTCCGGCTGGTTTGCAAACCACTGCATGTGCACATGCAGGCTTGCTGCCTGCGCAGTGTGTTTAACAGAGGCACTGGTGGAGGGTGATATGTGATGTGACATTAAACGGAGCTGGAAAGTCTAAAAAATATTACTGGCTGAGACTGAAAGAGGTACACTCTCAAGCCATGTGGGGTAGGAACTGATAAGTGTCTTCCAACCTTCACTTAAAAGTTAACATAGGACTATACTAATATAATAGCCTGACTGGACTTTCCTAAATGTTGTGGTATTTTTTTAAACCAAAGTTGCCTCAAAATGAAAGCTGCGGATTCCCAGTGGACAATGCCTTTGTGACAACAAATAAGCTTTATTTAAATGCCCCCGATTGGTTTGTTTGTTTTAATTACTTTTCTAGGAAAAAAAAAAGTATTGAGCAGCCTGCCCTTAAAATATCTCCTTGCTGAATTTGCACTGTAAATATTGTACTTGGGGTGGGGGGGGAACAACGATACAAGGAGGACTGGAGAAGGAAAGAAATGAACTTTCAGCTGCCTTACCACGGTGTAACCTGAATACAACAGAGCGAAAAAAGAAAAGCATGGATGATGATGTTAGTTTGTTAAATAATGTGTGTCAGGTAAGCAATATTTTTGTTTAAAAATGTTTTTACCCAAGTTTACCAAGCATGTTTCTCTATGCTGACATATGTAATTGGAACTGATGAGCGTACGGGTGGGTTACCACCTGTGCTGAGCTGTGCTCTTGCAACAAGAGGGACGGTCTGTGTCCAAACCAGAACAATTGATCATGAGAGTAGTTTGATGAGGTAAAATAGTCACCAACTGCTTAATGTTAAGTTTTGTGCTTAATGCTGGCTGCAGGTCAAGCGAACTATGTGAAGCACACAGGTCAATCCTGAACCAGTTGCACACCAGCTACTACCGAAAGGGTGTCTTTGCAAGTGTGAACAAATATTTTAGGGTTTCTTTTCCTAAACATAATCACCCAAGGATAATCGCTCCTCCGGAAAACCGATCAACTGACACCGAGATTTGGCTTGATACAAAGGGTGCTCAGGAAGGAAAGCGTAACCGACTCTTTGGAGCGTGTTGATAAAGCTTAGAAGAAAAATTTCCCCTGTGCATGACAGAAACTAATACCTCTGAAACAGCACTGATGCTGTCGAGTCTGTAAACATAGTTTCCTCTGATTCTAGTGGAGAGCAAAAATTTGGTTTTAAAGTTGTTTTGGTGGTGTTTTGTTTTTCCACTTGTGGGTTAAGTTCTTCCAGAGTCCTTTCCAGATCTGATATCCAGGCCAAACCTCACTGGCTCCTTGTCACCTTCGCTTGTGATAACATGCTTAGACAAAGAACAGCCTCTTTTAATGTAATTCCCTCCATAACAATCTCCAATTACAGTGTTCTATCTCCAATAAAATTCAGAAATGCATTTTGCTCATTAAACCCCCCAAACTTCTAAATGCTTATATCTTTTTTTTTTTTTCTCATGTCAGTAGAAAGAATAACGGCAGTTAATGCAAGACATCAGTCTGTAAGTAACCTAGACAGAGCTTCTTAAATTGAGAAAATTATTTCTGTGCATGCTCACCTAAGTGATAATTTTGTCTAAAACCTGAACCTGTGACTCTAGGATTGTGAATTATTTTCATCTAAATACTGACCTTGCTTAGCTTAAACTTTTAAGGAACAAATTTTTGGAAAGTGCAGCCATCTTGTACAGGCTTTGCAATTCCTCTTCATCAGTTAACAAGGCAGCCTGACATTCATAGGACTTGCTACATGTCTGCATCTTGAAAGATGCTCTCATATTTCGTGTACTGTCAGGATAAATGCTAGACCATTATTAATGTGATTAGACCAGTATATTTTCATAGACATATGTCTAAGCTTTGTTGTACAAATAAATATCACTGGAAATGCACTTTAATTTGATTTTAATTTGCTTGTACAATGACTATACTTTGAAACAAGAGATTGTTCCAAAACCCCAAATCTGTACTGCATGGGTATTAAAGAATTAGATGAGATACAGGTCGCACCGAGAGCAAACAGGCGAGCTCCCACCCACCATCCCAGCGCAGGATCCTGACAATAGGCTGAAGCTGCAATGCCTGAAGAAAATAGTCCCGAGATTCCCTGTCTTAAACAGATTTCTTCTCTGATTTCAGATACACACCTTTACCTCTCAGCTCAGTGAAGGACACCCCTGTAACCGCCTCTGCTTTCATGGTTGTGGAGACCACGAGCCTGCTGAGCTGTGTGCCTGGGAAAGGGCAAGGACCAAACAGCCCTTTGCCGCCTTCAACCAGAACAAACATTGTACTTAATTTCTACAAGTAAAAATCCATTTCCCAGGGAGCTCCATGGCACCTGGGCACCTTCCGTATGGTCTGTGGTGGGAAGACAGAAAGCAGACGCAATGGCTTTGATTACACTGCAAGATTTGCATAGCATAGGTTAGAGCTTGTTTCCCGGAGACATCTTCCTTGCCCTTGAAAAGATGATTCCTAATATACATAACAATTTGACCCACTGGTTTATGGAGAAACAGGGGTCTAGCCTTTAACCTCTGGAAAACCAAAGTTAAAAATTCAGGGATTTCTGTGGCCAAAGCAATCGTAGCCGCATTGTTCAAAAGCTCATTTTTGCAGCTTTCCATAGAGGCGCTTCTAGCTCATTCCAAAATTAAGGTAATTTGCAAATAACAGCTTAGAAGACCATTTTTCTACTATACTTTTAGACAGAGAAATTGAGAGAGAGATTAGTGATTGTGAATATTTGCATTAATGTGGCAGGAAAGACCCTAGTAACGAGGCAGAATCCCATGGCAGTTTTCACACAGATGGCTCTTCAGCCAAGTAGTTGAACCTGACGGTGGCATTAGCACTGAGCAAACAGTGAGGGCATACGGAGATAAACTCGCTTGATTATAATTATTATATAGCTATTATAATTACCAATTATAATTGATGCAAAGCTACAGGACTTAAAGATGGGTTTGATTGAGGTATATTTGCAAACGCATGTCCTCCCCTCTTGGAAAGAGTCCCGAGATACTTACAAATCAGCAAATGGGGAGCCGGCGGCATTGCCAGTCACACGACGGGCATGAACTCGGTGCTGAGGCTTCAAATGGACAAATGCAACTTCTCCTTTCAACCCATAACCCAACAACTGAATGCAGATTCACATTAGAGTAGCAGCTAGGCTGCTTATCAAAATAAAAAAATACCTGTAATGCTAACTGGGTCAAATCAAGATAAAGGCAAAACTTTGCAGTCTGTACAACTTGGGGTCCTTTCACTTAAATACACAAACTGCGTGTTCTCTTCCTCTCTTTTTTCCCCACTTACCGTGCCATTTATCTTAACAATTAAGATTAAGAACGCAACCCTAAAAATTTATTTACACAAAACTCCTCTCAGTACCACTGGAAACATTGATATCTATACACTTTGTTCAAATCAGTAGAGGAAAAATAGCTAACCTGTTATTTTTGATGTACCCCTGTAAATTTGGCTTTTAAAATAAATTACCATTTCAAAACCTGTAAATACCTCAGCTAAAAAAAGTTTGGGAATTGGTAATGTACCATCAGTTTTATTTTTAGCTTTGCCTGACTTGAGTTTCATGTTGTTTGGGGGGAAAAAACCAGAAGTTCCTCCCACATACTCAGTGTTACACCATACAATTTATAGCAACTCCAGATGGAAAAGACTTACTGTCATTTGTTTGCTGGCACAAAGATAAATATAGTCCTCATTTCCGGAGAATTAAAAACAACTATTCCTCTAAAGCACTTCAATTTTCTATTCAAATTTATTTTCCCACACTTATCCAAAAGTAGCAGCTTCTTCTTTTTAAAGAAGAATGATCGAAATGCTTAGTTTGAAGACTTTCAAAGTACCATACAGAATAAAACCTAAACATTTTATTTCAAAACACAGGAAAGACACACAAAGACATAACATAATTAGGAAAGTGCAGAAATTATAACTTATCTGATAGTTTTTATAAAGTAAAAACAGTATTTTTAAGCCCAATTCTAGACACATGCTTCACTAATCTGACTTCATATGCAGTCTTCCTTCTATCAGCCCTGGAGGAAGAGAGCCTTTGCTAACATTTTTTTCACTGACAGTAAGTATGACCCCATCATCCTGTCTCATGGGTAGATCTAACAAGCAGAAATGGTCCCACTGGACATATTGGGGAAATTGATGCAAAGAAGAATTTCCTAAATTGACTCTTACAGAACTTTACACGAGAAATTCGCATATGAAAGATATCATCTGTTTATACTTTGTAAAACAAGAGGCTCTTCAATGCTCATGCCAGCCATTCTTCCTGGTTCTGGAATTCTATCTGAAAATGAAGCACAGATATAAATATTCTCACGCATCTGGAGATCCAAAGGCGCAAGTGTTATTTTCTACTATTACCAACTTTGATACAGAATATCGAAGGTATAGGAAACTCGGGCAATTTTACAAATGTATTCTTCCATGAGAGATCTTTGCATTAACAAAGATTAGATTTTGGACAACTTCAAATCAGCTACAGTGAATGAACTAACAGAAACACCAGATTCCATATGTTTTATCAGGATTCCCAGTCTGTATACCAGTTTATTGGAATATTAATTCAACTAAATAAGCAAGATAATTTCTAATACGAAAAGCAAGTTAGATGTTAAAATATGGGACTTGGAGGATTGAATTTATGAATGGACTTATCTTAATATGCAGCCTAATTAAAATAGCTAGATAATTAGTATTTTAAACCTCCTGCCTTTAGGTCTCCACTGACATATTCCACAAACACATGCAGAAAGTAATTCCAGACTACAGTTACTTAAAGGTTAAAAGCCTTAAAACGGTTATATTTTTGTTTAGTTCAAAAAGCAGTGTGCTGTCATGAGTTATGCTGGCATGCTTAATCCTGAGTTTTGTAACTAACTCTAAACAATTAAATCCCCACGTGAAATTATATTAGAGTCAACAGGGCAAAGTGACCCTGCACAGAGTCAATTTCAGAACTGAGGTACAAAGTTATACTTTAAAAACAATTCTTCTATACACTGAATTTGATTTCAGAAATGGAGAAACTTCTGATAGGAGTAATTATTCTCTAACAAAGAGATCATTTATAGCAGTTTCGGTATTGAAATTTTATTTCTTCAGCCCCCTCTTCTGGCAGAAGGGAAACAACATTGTCTCGATGAATTAACTGTTAAGTCGTTTAGTACTTCTCTCACACTTTTTAGATGTCAGTAATATCTCAAGCCTCATATTTTTCAAATTTTTGGATAAAAAAGAAATAGTTGATAGTACTAACGCAATAGTACTAAATGCTCACAGTGGAAAGTGAAGTAATATGCCAAGCAGACTCTTTGAAGGAAAAAACTGGACCAACGATCCCTCTCATTATGTAGCTTAGGCAGTATGAATTGTAACCAGTCAAAAAGCAGACCAGAAAGGGAAAATAAGATTTAGTAGTGTTCTAGTATAGAGCAATGAACTTGGAGCTTAAGCTTCTGCAGTCAATGGGATGTGAATTATGTCCTCAGAAAAGGTTTATGCCCATATACAAAATTGACGGCTAAAGAGTTAAGAACTTTCTACAGAAATTAGGTAAGTTAAAACAGATGAGAAACAAAGAGATACACCCACTATTTAACATACTTTACTGAGAATTTAGGTTAAATTCTTCTATTAAATTGCTAATGTAATAAGACTGTCTCTAGCTGACCCATTCCAGATTTGTAATAGTATAAGGGAGTACAATTCGGCCAGTTTAACTTTTAGGAAAATGGTAAAGCAATTTGGTGGATGACCTTTCTGATACTGAGCATTGGGATATTAGTATTTTCTGGTCTTTACCAGTAACTGCAGAGCTGCAAAACTAATTAGAATAGCACAGCTGTCCAATTTAAATGAGTTTTCAGTTTTAACAGTCCAAAAGCCTTAAGAGAATAAAGCTAAATAGTTAGGTTTTTTTTCCTCTTCCCTCTAGTAACTAACAAGCAGTTGCAGCTACCACAAGGTAACAGGAGCTTCACAGTACCTTGCACTGTTGAGAAATTATATAAAATTGGCTGTCTGCAATTTTTAAAAGTGTCTGCTTTATAAATAAAATACATTCCCATATAAGAGAGAAAGTTCTACTACTGACATGTTTAAGGCCAGTCAAGCACCTCCGAGGGCAATCAGATTTGTATGCCGTATATGCTGTCCCATTAGCATACTGGCAGAGAGAAGCAGGCCTAAGAGTTGGTGTAAGTTGGTCACTTATTTAAACAAAGGCACATATACGCTTGTTTTAGAGATCATGTGTGGGTCTTCCTTGAGTTTCTTAAATGAATATATGAGCAGCAGGTATGCTCGGGTCACACAGCTTAATGGTATTTTTGAGGTATAAACACCGTTCTGCTGAAGAATGTTTCTTATAAAAGAGGCGTCAGCTCGAAGCATTCCTTGCACAGAGGAGGTACATGGTGTCCATCTGCATGTTTATGCTGTATCATATAGAAAATCTAGTCACAAATAAAACTTCCGCAAAAATGACCCCATATCCACACCCACCTTTTTGATTTCTCTCAGTAGGTGGTTTGCCAAGGTTCTGCTTCGGATAATTCAGCAAAGACACTTTTGGAAGGGTATTCTGGGTACTTTCTTCTTTACCACCATGTAAGAAATGAGAGATAATTCCATACAAGAGAGGTCTGCTTAAGAGAGAAATGACAAAAGCAGTCTATGAAGTCTGTGAAATACTGAGCATTAAAAAACCCACCCTTTTTTCAGAACTTCTGAGACCTTAATGTTTACTTCTAGAGTATGTACAGATGTCTTCAGAATAATTATTTAAAATACATTATGTCAAGTGTCATTACATAAATAAGCACAGACCTAAGCCCACCCCGAACACCAACTCTCCTAAAAAGCTTGCACTAAGAGACACTCTCAACTGAGCTCTAGATCTCCTGCAAGCGAAGAACTGGAGCATGCTTAGCACAAGAACACAGATCCACATTCGCACGCGTGCAGTACGAAGGATCAGACTTTGGTGGGCATCCCAAACTTGATTCTTCCTGAGCACCTGGCAGATTCTGCCAGCACAAGCTACAGAGAACACTGAATGTTTTAAACCTACTTCAGTACCCTAGCTCATTAACGCGTTCTTATTGGAGCACTATGAATTTGTATCTAATCTCAGAACACAAGAATCTTTTTATTGCTCTACAAAGCAACTCACTGATATGCAAAGAGCGTATCTGTTTTCTGCTTCTGACTATAGGGAAGACTGTATTGGTAAGAGACTTGTATTTTGGTGTGCAAGTACACTATCTGGAGAATGCTGTATAGTTGGCAGAATTAAATTTTAGTTTTGAGTATGTTTGAAAATGGCCCCATGTTTGACATTGTGAGTTTGAATCCGGCATGTCAGAGCAGCCTGGTGATCTAGTCACACTTCAGTTGGTGAGAACATTTATGTGATTGATAATAACATTAAAGAGAAAAATGTATGCAGAACAGAACTGTGCATTCCAAAATCACTCCTTACATGGATTTTCCATTTGCGTCTTCAACTATGTTCAGCTCTTTGGCAAGAAACTGCCTATCCAAGGGCACTTCAGGCTGGCCAGATTCTGGAAAAGAGGTTTCCCCAAAATTCTTAAGACTGTTAAGAAAAACATCACCAATTGCCTTTTTTAAAGACTGCTCAGGAGACTTCAAAAGAGAATGAGAGCACACACCTCCCTTTTAGACTACTAATATCTAACAGTATATTGTAATTCCAGGGAACTCACTTAAACATTAGTGCTTCATACTCATATAATTTACAATAGTGCATGGCAATTTTTATCTTTACTCTAAAGAAATCTAAAAAAAATATTAAAGAAACCTTACAGTAGAAAGATAAATTAATCAGGCAAACAACTCTTTCTCTGAAGAAGTACTGTTATCAAACAGATTCCATACATTAACTACTACATAGACTGTCTCCATTCCCTCTTCTCAAGATGAACCTTTGTGCCTGTAATTTTAATAGAGTGAAACATATCAAATTAATAAATAGTGAATGTAATTACTGTATCTAAGCACAGCTACGGAACTTTGAATTTCAAATATAAGTTAGCAATAGCTGCAAAAATAAATAAGTGCTGTAACATATAAATTATGGCTCCCATTTAGACGTTTGCAGTCTAAACAGCTCTCAAATATTGGTATTTTAGCACAGCCAGTAGCTGTAATACTTAACTGCAGCTGTTAAAAAATATGGACCTTCTTCACAGTCTTTTTTTGTTATTTAAGCTGAGGACATCTGATCATGTTTCTGATACAGTCTATATGCTTGAATTGCCAGAACTGCTGTAATTTAGACTATCAACTACTTTACATACGTATTACTTTAGTTTACATTATTCCTCAAAGAAATTTTGTTCATTTGTAGGATTTCTAGTTTTTTATTTTACCAAAATGCCAATTAAAAAAAATGCAATATATGCTTTAAAAATATTGTTAGCCATTTTCCAAAAAAAAAAAGCAGATATTTCAAGACAGGTATTTTGACTTTGCAGGCTGTTAGCAAGTTTTCTTGCTCCTGCATCAACTGCTCTGCCAAAGCGTTTACCCCAAGGATAAGGAAAGGGTAAGTTTTCTTGAAAACTAATGGTAGATTTGGCTTAATGCAGCAAGTAAACCTGTGAAGAGAGTGTTCATATCTTATTTATTTCTAAGGGAAGACAAGATCGTGCAGCTTGGTCCCACTTATTAATTTTGTAGCATCAGTGGCGTATCAGTACTCAACCAAACAATAAATGGCTATGAATAGAGCGATGACAACAAAAATTCAGCCCCAATACCTGCAGTTAAGACAGATGCTGCGTATTTGTATTTGTTATATTCCAGGTATTCACGAATTAGTTCGTTGATTAAGAGATTTTCATGAGACAGTGGTGGCCGTGGTTCACTTCGGTCATCCAGTGCATTAAAAACTTCAGCTCTGATCCTTGCCTTTATTTGTCCAAGAGCGCCTCTTTTTTCCAGTGTGTCCTTTAAAACTATTACCATAAAAAAATCTGTTAACATGAAGCCAAACGTATTCAAGCAGCATTTATCATCCACAATACAAACATAATTTTGGCATATTCAGTGAAATAGAGATAAGATATCGGCACCTGTGCATATGCCAGTAGGTAACAACTGCAAGAACGTTACAGATAAAAAGTAAGCCTTCAAATAAGTCACAATTATGGGTTTTTTAGTAAACATACGTCCTAGCAATTTCAGAAGCGAGATATTACTGGACCAAGGTGTTTTTAGCGAGTGAAAACCAGGCCAAGATAAATGACAAGGGCAGAGTGCTTGTGTGGAGGCTTAGGGACGTCTCCCCCACGGCTCCCCGACCGGCGGTGTGAGG